CTTCTACACCCCCCATTAGACCTGGTATGACACCAGCTGCAATGCAGAAGAGCTGCTGTGGTGGTAGCAGTGTGCTCCACCACCAGACGCAGGTGGAGCCCTCTGCAAGAGGCTGGCCTCTGGCTGGAGAAGTGGATCCAACTACTGGAAGAGCCAGAAGATAGCTGACAAATTTTCCTTCACAGAGAGCATCCCTGACACCAAACCTCCAATATTAAGCAACAGTCTACAGCATCCTCAAGACTACTGCAGTTGCCCATACCATAGGGTACAGTATTCTTGAGGATCAAAATGACCAAAGAGGACAAACACTCCATGGCAGTGGCTGACCAGCTTTGAGACTGGTTGCAGGTCATGGGATCTTCTACATTTAGAACCAATCTCTCAATTTGCACTCCGTGTGCAGAGTTTCTCTCCTAAATATGTTTGAATTTAAATAGAAGATATGGATTTAAATCAAAACAGGCAGACTCAGAAATACATTGAATATTACTAAAAGATGTATAGCTTACTGCATTGTTTTTTTTTTTCCTTTTTACCATCAGCCATAGAAAGCTTTATTCCAAGCCCAATCACACTTCTGGTTACAAAACATGGCAAAAAAACCCAACAGATAGCACGCAATATCTTCCATATTTCTACTTGCCTCTATCTTCATACTGGATTTTCCACATTGAGGGATGGAGAATAAACCTCTCCCATTGTTAACATAATGAATATACCTAATGGTAGCAAACAAAGTTTTTTATTTTTTTTTTTTTAATTTCACAAATCTTTTACTCTCCCCAAGCCGCCATTTGTTAGTGCAACAATCCAGCACAGTGCTAGTTGCTGAGGTATACATGGTTAAACTAATTTCACCTTCAACCCAAGTCACAATGTTTTCTCTCCCTCTATATTTTTTTTAAAGGTAATGAAAGCCCTATATTCACCACTTTACATTTCTTAAAATAATTCCATTCTAGAGTAAAGAATGGCTTTGTAATAGTGACAGGCTGTAAAAAGCAATAGCCTTACCTTTTATCACCCATAGAACTCCTGCTGTACTTTTTTTTCTTAAAATATATTTTGTGCAAAATTAAGTTCTGTGTAGGTCTGTACCATAATTTGGAAAAAACTGTGTATAAAATGTACATAATTTTTAAAAACAATCCCAACGTCACACAACAGAGAGAAGAAACAGATCAGATGCAGCTGAAGTTTTCATATGAGAAACTAAATATAGTATGTTCTTAAAGCTCCAGTAATACATTCTTTCAAAAACCAGAATGCACTTTGGTCATTATTAAACACTAGTACAGAGGCAAATAAAATACAAAATGCTTGTTTTTGTTGCTTTATATATAAAAATATTTTTATACCACATAAGTTTAAGATATATTACTTCAAATCTTTCAAGATTCTGAAGATTAGCAAATATAGTGCAATGTCCAGACTCTTGCCACCTAATTACTTGTCATTTTTCAATATGAAGCCACTATTTTAGAAACATAAAATGTAAGAATACTTGCGCCTGGTGATGTTAATCCTCCTCAAATAATTTGTAGATCAAAACTTTTTTCCAAGTAACTTAATTCTGATGGGTGAACATTTGTTTTTGTCACACTGACAAACCCCGAGTCAGTACAACTGGTCCATGGGCAGCAGAGGCAGGAGGCAGAGGAAGAGGTGGGGAACCCAAGGCTGGGAAATGGCAGCCAAGGAAGGGCTGGGGCGTGGCCCCTGCTGGGGAGGACTGGGAGGAACACAGGTTACTTGAAGACAAACCTGCTGAATATCAGGCTTCATGAGCTCTGGTGCTCACCAGAGGAACTTGGTTTCTGTGTTCAAGTGTTCTTAAACTTCAATGTGGTATGAATGGCATATACTATAGTGTACAAGAGGAGAGCATCCATCTATCTTATGCTCAGTCATAACATTCCTTTCACCAGTAAATCATTTGCTTGTTTAAATATTCAACTTCAACATATAATATATACTGCTCCATAGTTCACCATAATATATTCCAATTAATGTACATTTATATGTATATATAAAGTTTCTCATTAAAAGTAACAATTAAAAGTGCACATATTGAGCATGCACAGTCAGAGCTGCGCTGAACAGCCCAGTATTTCAAATAAATACAATATTTCATTTATCAAAATATCATACAGCATGGTAACCATTCACAATTATTGCTCCAATAAAAGTGTTATCAAAGAGCACTTGTTGACTTGTTATATAATACCGCATTAATATCCCAGGATATTTAAACTACAGCCTACATGAGTTTAGATCCTGGAATTACTCAACATATGCAAAATTCTCACTTGCTTCTAACAGTAATATAAAATATTTCTGCTACCTGTCATACCGTATTGTCAGTACTTTTTTTTTTTTGTATGTCTCACTTTTCTATTGTAACCAAACATCTGCTGAAGTTATACTATCCTCATAAATGACTGGTGCAAATAAAATATTCTAAGCAATTTTATCGCCCTATCAAAAATCAAATTACTTCCATACAGCCTTACTGTAACTAAAATGTTCAGCATTTGCTTCAGCTTTAACAACAGATACAGTAATTTAGTGTAATCCATTTTCCAGGATTTCAAGTTCTCAGACAGTTTTTTGACTCTTCCCAAACCTGACCTTTTCCAATACTAAACAAATAAGTTTGACAATAAAATATAAATGTCAACTAAAATGAACATAAAACAGTGAGAAGATGAAATAAATACAAAGATTGCACAAGACAGTCAGATGTAAACACTTCAATTTTCCAAACAACATCCTTGAAGAGGTTGTAGCATCTGAAATACAGATTCAGTGGCTGCTTTGAGGCAGTTTTTTCCATCAATGAGCTTTTCTATAACACTGTGTTATCTTCTTTATATATAGTCAAGATTTGATCTTCCAGAGCTGGAAAAGTTAGAGCAGTAAATCAGCATCACTTCTTATTTCAGTTTTCTCTTTACCAGAATTACAGTAACACTTTTTTTTTTTTCTTTTGCTGCATATTCTATGACACACAAAATAAACTTTACATTCATTTACTTCTAATAGGACAAAAATGGGTAACCTAACCAAACCCAGCGGCCAGTTAAGGTCTTTGTGCTACAAGTTTGTATAAACTAATGAGTCTCATAACCTGAATCTTGAAATAGTTTCCAGAGTTTGTAGTTCAGAGGGAGCCAGAGAGTAGGACCAAACAAGACAGTTCTTCAGCCACAGTGAAAGGACACTGTAAGACTGATTGGTCGTGCTAACACTGTACCTACATAACACTTCACTGCAGTGCAAGACAAGGACTGCATCATTTTGCACCCTTTACAGAGTTACAAAGTCAACAGTGGTAAAATCAAGGGAGAAATCACAGCTAGGATATGAAGAAAAAGTTAAAAAAGGCCTTATGGATATAAATGAGACTGTATTTATATCTAAGAATTCTAGTTACCTTTAGGTTAAATCCAAGCAGGTCGCTGATGACACCAGAAACGGCTGACAGGATGACTACCTGGGTGATATTATAAAGCAGTGGATTCATGGTAAGCCCATATAATCTAAAGGGACTGTCCAGTTCCTAGTAATGCAAAACAATGACATAGTTAAAAGCAAAAATTACACGGAGAGGCTTTTGTTCACATATGTACTGAGCAATATTAGATAGTTTAGGAAGTCTTCAAATTAGAGTGCAGTTAAATAAAAACTGATCTGTCCTGTTCTTCTGTATATAAAAAACAATGTGAAAGAAAATACCCATCATATTAACAGACTACTGACTGATGCTGTCTAGCCCTTCAAAAGAGTTGAGGCTACCCATCTAGAGCATCTACCAATTTGCTCACAGATCCAGGAAAACAGAGAGCTAGTTTTCCTTGCCATGATTTTTAGAAGTCAAATATTTTAATTTTTTTAATTGGAAGGATCAAAAAATTAACCCAAACTAATCTGCAACAAACTTGAGCAAAGAGGCTATTTCACCAATCTTCAATTAATGATGTGTGAAGTCATCCAAACTTTTATGGACTATAAATATGTCAAATAAAGGAAAAAAGATTTTTAAAATGTAAGTGTGGGTTACATGAAGTAAAAGCACTATCACTGCTTTAGTAATTTATATTTTCAGGCTTTAAACTCATCTTTCATTCTTCTCCTGCGTTACATCCTGGGCCTTGAACAAGATGTTATAAACCCATTTTTTTTTAATACAGAAGAATTCCAGAGCTCTGACATCTTTCAAAAGAGGTGAAATATGAACGAACAACCTTTTCACTAAGATGTAATGTGGTATAAAACTCTGCTGCAAATACAAAAGATATAAAATACATGACTGAGAAAAACAGCAGAGAAATTCTTTAAGGAAAAAGTTTTTAGATTTTGGAGTAGTCTTATCAATTCTGGGAGTACAAAAGTGGTAAGAATTTTCAGCATAACATAGTCTTCATTAAAAGCTTAAGGATCAAAATCATACAAAACTAAATTTAAAAAAACCCAAACAAACACACAAACAAACCTCCATACAGCTAGAAGACCTGAAATATGTAATTGCATTGATCACTAACTACCAAGAATAAGCAAGAACTTGAGTTGCTGCTTTGTCAACTTTGAGTCCTTGCTGATTCTATTGGTCCTCTCATGCAAGTACTGTGTACTTTTTTTTGAGATTGGGGACCATAGGCACTGTTGAAGGTGTGCTGGTGAGGAGAATTACTCAGCTGCCTAGAAGAAATACTCCATTATCTACCACTAGGCTGGCTATGTTTAAGAGAGTTTAAGCTTCATTTTAAGAACTGCTCCTTGGCATACAGGAGCCAACAGGGTAAGTGACCAGAATTTAATGTGTGAATGAAACAGCATGGTCTTAAAGCACCGCTGTATGCAAAAAAAGCCAGATTTTTCTCTCAACAGGCTTGAATTTTCCTGACTGCAGAGTAAAGGTATAGAGGCATTGAAAGATATGGTTCAGGTTTAATGTATGACAACAGCCATTTGCTGACGGGGATTTCTGCACATGGAACCAGTTTCAGTAGTGCTACAGTCAGCCATGGTGGGAGAGCATGTGTGGACTGAAGGGAGGGAAATTACTTTTACATTTGCCAGTCATTCCTGAGGAACTGCTGTATGTGACCACTCCATTTTGGACTAAAGAAAGAAGCTGATTCCCTGAAGAAGTAAAAACTTGCTGTTACCTTACTTCTGAACCAAAGAATAACAAGTAGGCAGCATCTCTTCAAGAACTTTACCATGACAGCAGAATTTATAACAAGATTTGAATACTGAGAGCTGAGGCTAGACAAACTGAATTTACAAATAGTTGACACAACAGCAGAAGTGACTAGGCCCTGGAACACCGTGCCAAGAGAGGGAGAGAGGCAAATCATGAATTTGTTTTCTGTAGTGTCAGGACTGGCTTCTACTTTGAAAGCCCACTGTAGTCAATTACAAGTTATATACTGCTAATTTTAGTGTGAAAACACATAAGGAATACTAGATCTAATGGATTATATTTGTTCATAAAAGCCAAACTTAAAATTAAAAAAAAAAAAAAAAACCAAAAACGTATATTTATCATTCTTACTTAAGGATTATCTGAATGCCAAGTAAATTTTGGATTAGGGAAATGTTTAGAAGGGGAACAATACGTTTCTGGAGCAAGAATTAAGCTCCTAGACAACAGAAAGAACAAAACAGCTTGCTTCCCAAATTAGAACAGATCTGTGAGTTTGAAAGAACTGAAGAACTCAGCAGAGGCAACTCAGGATCAAATGTGCCTTCCTGAGAATCTCAAGCCATGCTTTGTTAACAGTAATAACAATAATTTTAATCAAAAAGCCCTACGGATGTCTGTGCTCTAGCTCCAGAGGAGTGAAAGTGAGATGATTTTTCTTCTGCAGAATTCTAGAAATGGGAAGTAATAAATGTTCTCTCACTGTGAAGACCCAACAATTACAGTTAGCTGGCAAACAAGACAACATTCACAGAATGGTTTGGGTTGGAAGGGACCTTAAAAGATGATCTAGTTCCAACCCCCACTAGACCAGGTTGTTCTAAGCCCCATCCAACCTGGCCTTGGTATTGCATAACCAAAATAAGCACAGGTGACTTAAATACCTGAATTACATCAAATGAAATCTGTATCTTTAATTCATTTACAAGGGGACCCATGTAACAATTTCTGTCTTCTAAAAAGATTCTTCTATGACAGTAAGCAAAGGAGACCAAGTGTAATCTAGCTTTAATGTAAAATGCTAATCACTGAGGTTTTAAAAGGAATTATTTTTGTAAAGAATACAAATCCTCCAGCAGCTTATTACTAGAAACAGGCAGATAGAGTGTAGCATGAGTAAGTAGCATCTCTATGAAATAGTTACAGAACAGACTGAAACCAAAGCACACCGTGCTGCCTGCAGAAGTGACACAAGTGACACATTAAGCATTCTACTCTGCTTCTTAGTTATGATATGGTAATACTATTTTAATTCTTACCTTTAATAACTTAGTAGCAAGTTTTAAAACATTGTTTACTAGTGTCAGTTCTTCCTTCTTATTAGGCTTCTTCTCCATTTTCAAGTACAAGTTTATCTGATTTTAAAAAAAAATACAGGCATCACCTTGTATTCAGAATTTAAAGGAGTTCATTTAGAAATATTTAATAATAAAATGAAGTGACTACACAGCAACCATACAGACAGAAAAACAACAATATTTCTGCAAGCAAACAAATTTTTTGCTTCCTTTGTAATATTTAAGAACAAAATACTGGCTCACTACCATAGGAAAACACAATGTTTTATGATATAGCAAAATATATTTGACTCTCTTATAGCAACAACTTAAAAGTTTAGTGTAATCTACAAATTAGGCAAGAAAAATCACCACATATGTAAGGTTTGAATAGTTTCTTTTTCTCTTTTAGTAGTTGCCTGAGGTTTGTCAATTCATTTCCAGAAGGTTTTTATACTAACATGCAAACCTTACACTGCTTAACATCCCCAAATTTATTGAGTAGACCGAAATGCTAAAACATAGTTCTGCTAAAGTGTAATTTCTTTTAAAAGATTTTGATATAGTCAAGTACTACATGAGCACCTTGACAAAGAAATCTCTTTTACCAGTGCCTTGAGATATCTGAAGAATGATTAAACTCTTCAGTGTTACAGAAGAACAGTATATTGATCATTTTAACACTTCTGTAATCCAAACATTTTAAGGTCACTGTTGCTAATAAAGTTAAGAATACAAATTCTCTCTCTTTTGGCTTTCTATCAATTTTTCAAACATCAGATTTCATTCCCAAATGACCACTCTCTGATATCCTAGACCAGGCAAAGGTTAATTTTCCATTTTTATTGCATAAAAAAAGCACATCAAAGGAAAAATATCTTTAAATGCCATAAACTTTTTATGTCAAAATAACAACATTCAACAAGATTAAAATTGAACAATTTAGCAATATGCCAAAGTAGTCCCTCAGATGACAAAGGCTCTTTACCAAGCAACAGAAGTGAACTTGCAGAAAGGAAGGAATGTTATATGATGCCATGATATATTTAATCACCTTGTTATAAGGTGGTTATTGAAAAAGGGGTCACAAACATCTTAACAAAATAACTGATTATCAGATCTCCCTAAATAGGTCACTATAAATCAAAAACTATGCCTAATATATTCCAAGGCATATAAATTTCATTTTGGAGTAAATTACAATTTTAGAGACAAAGATATTCCAGCCTTTAAATATAAAGTTACTGATTTCAACAGTTCAAGTGCTTATAAACTGAAATAAACCAAGGCTAAAGGCTCTGTTTAGCAACTCTGAAAAACAGTAGGCAATAAAAGAGATTTGAAACTTTCTGGGGTTTAACTATGATTTCATTAATTTACAGAAAAAAAAAACATCAAACCCAACATTCAATAATGAACTTCAAATCCTGAAGTTGGAATGTGTGTATGCATTTAATTTACAAGACCAATTAAAAAGACTTTCAGAAGGACTTGAAAAATTACAGGCAAACAGAATACAGTCAGAAAGTCCTTTTATGTAAAATGATTGATTTTTCAGCTTCCCATCATGACTCCTAATCATGAAATTCATAGGGTGAATATAAAAGCACACAGAAGCAGCTGGAATTTTGTTGACAGAAAGTAGAATTTGCGATTTCATCTTATCCATAAAGCATTTAAATTGAATCTGGGGGTTGAGGCTTGTTTATCCTTTGGTTTCTGTTTTGGTTTTTTTGTTTGTTTGTTAGTTTTAAAGCTTCATTTTCTTCTCAGTAAACCTAGTAAAACTAGTGTGTGATTTTCAAAGATCAGTTCAGATATGCTTTTTTACATCAAGAGAGTGTCAGTCAATTATTTGGGCCTAACCTCTTACAAAAGGCAAAAATGTCTGACTTTCACGAGTCTCTCAAGAACACTGTTAAACATGCTGTGGTATGCAGCTAGTATGCAAATGAATCCAAAATTCTCATCGAATCTCATGAAAAGCATAGACAGAAACCTATGAAAGCAAAACAAAAGCTGGACACTCTCTACCTCTCTCTCACCCTGCTCTCTGCATTCTTTTTTTTTATCCTTATCCTAAACATTCTCCTCCATTTTCATTCCAGAAACCGAGGACATAAAATTTACTGGGACATTAGGTTAGTTGTGCTCTAAGGATCAACAGAGCAATGCAAAGTTCTCTGGGCTCAGGCACCCTGAGAAGCTTCACACTGGTGCATTCAGGACAAGGTAAGCAGGCCCTCTGTCTTCTCAGCATCTAGGCTCATCATCTTCAGTAATGAATGAATTGTCATTGAGCAAAATATGTAAGCAGTCATTTACATCATCTACCATAAGCTTCATATCCTGACTTCAGGAGTCTCAGTTTGGAACGTTTTATTCTCCAACTTGAACACATTTCCTGTCGGAAACCTGCAAAGATTTCTTGAACTGCCTATTTACTTTGTGCTGAATGCTGGATTTTGCATCAGTGTGAAACCTCTCCAAGTAGAAAGAGACTGCATCTCACCTAACACTAACTGAACATGCTTAGCTCAGAAAACTATCAGCAGTGCCACGCAGCGCGGAGAAGGAAAGTCTGCAGCACAAAAACCAGCTACAACACTCCTGAGAAAAAAAAGTATGTAGACCAAATATCAGGCTTGATAGATGACTGAAAAAGTTTCCAGAGAGTCCAGAAGAAAATACATGTAATCCACACAAGCTAGCGGTCAAAATTATTGGAATGTAAACAGCGACCCACTTTGTAGAGGGTAAGTTTGTTTTCAAATATTTTATTCTATGCTTTGAGATTTCAAGTTTCTTTTTCCTGTTTAAAAGCTACTTTTTATGTTTGTGTTCTGTTAGAGCTTTAATTATATCAAATGACATACGACATCTCTAAGCCTCTTCACTTAAAGAGGAATTGGGATATGGCTATCTCAATGTTCCATATCGCTTTTAAACAAAGTCACACACTTCTCACAGAAATTGTTTCCCTAC